TAATAAATATACAAAGCTTCAAAGAATAAACCATTACAAAAGAATTCAATAAGCAATTATCTAAATAATATATTCTTTTGTTATATTTATCTTGCTTTAAACTTGTTTGATTAATTTTAATATATAAGCGAACAAAACTGTAATATATAAAATTAATAACGATAATCTCTTTGTTATTTAAATTGATTTGCGTTTTGTTTACAATTCCAAACCACTGTAACTTGTTTATGTTTTTCTTTGCACAATGTGCGAGCCATTAATGTGTGTTTGTGCTCTCGAGTCTGTGTGTGTGTGCATGTGTGTGGGTTTGTAATTGTCGTAGTATATAGTTCAGTCGGATTTACTATATTGTAATAAACAAGATATTTATGGCGCCGTTGATGTCGCCGCGCATTTCGCATAGCAAGATATAAATTATTTCCCACAGCCCCATCGTAGCTGCAGAGCATAAAGCCAAGCAAGAATCAAGAATCAAGAACAAGAATCAAGAATCAAGAAATATCAAATAAAATAAGTTGAGCTGTAAGTAAGCATTAACTGTAAGTTAAGTAGTTAGAGAAAGTTTACAAATATACAAATATACATATTAATTATACCATATATACGATTACTAAACTGTTGTTGAACGTGTTTTTCCAGACGTGCCCGCTAACGGGCTTTATTTCCTGGTCTACGAGTACATACAGGATGTGGCCAAGGCCCACTCGAAGACGGGCGAGATCAACACTGCCTCAACCATATTTGCGGGCGGCGCCGCTGGCATGGCCTACTGGATTCTGGGCATGCCCGCCGACGTGCTCAAGAGTCGTCTGCAATCGGGTAAGTAAATATTTGATGATATCAATTGATTCGATTGATTTTATCAAAATTCGTTGCAGCACCCGAGGGCACATACAAGCACGGCGTGCGCAGCGTGTTCAAGGATCTGATTGTTAAGGACGGCCCATTGGCTCTGTATCGCGGCGTTACGCCCATCATGATACGTGCCTTCCCAGCCAATGCTGCCTGCTTCTTTGGCATTGAGCTGGCCAACAAATTCTTCAATTTGGTTGCACCAAATTTCTAGTAAAGTGATTTCTAATTGTTAATATTTTTCAAATCGTAGATAGATCCAGGGCTTTCCTTTTGTGGTAATGTTCAAGCTAAAAGTTAAGTGTCAGTTAGTCTTTGTTAATGCAAAATTATTATGTAAATTTAATAAAAAGAGAATTGTTTTTMAATATGATTGTACTTGAATGAAATGTATATAGAGATGAATTTATATTTAAGTTAAATTTAATTAAGCTCAGGTCTGATATATA